TATAAGAATATGTAACTTCAAAGTCTTAATTCCAATTCCATTATTACTACGAATGTCCCATAATCACATTTTTTGTTGTTGTTGAATTGAGCCCAAAGGGAATTTGAGCCCTTTTAAAAATTGTGATTATATACATACATGGAAATGTCATAGTGTAATTCATTATTTTGTAGAATTAATACACACTAATAAAAAAACACTAGTATTTGGGAGTGATGATACAAGCTTCTATAGTCCTTTACATAATTTGAAAAATCAAGTTGCCTTCCAGTCACAGCACGAAGTCTTAAAACTGAATGATTAAGAAACCAGGAAATCTTTTACCATGAAAAAAAATGGCTACAAAGGGCACCAGGAAATGTCTAGAGTGAAAAATATGAGTTGATGATATTATTAAATTCTCAACATTTGGAACTTCCCTGTCATATAGGTAATGATTGGTAGGTGCACAAGAAGGGAATTTTATAAAATAAATTGCATCCCTCCATTTGCTGTATTGCATAATTGATTATTTTGTTTCAGATGTAGTACTTTGAGAAACAGCTTAGAGTTCCTTCTCTGTATCCTCCCTCCCCTCTTTACCCTTCCTTTTCCCTCCTCTCCCTTTTCCCCTTCCCTCTTCTCCTCTCCCTTTTCCTTTCCTTTCCCCTCCTTTTCTCTCCTTCCCTCCTTCCTTTCCTTCTCAGTTCTACGTTCTCTCTAGCAAAATTCCTAAAACCTGCAGCTTTGAATAAATTTTTTTTAATAATTTCAAAATTGAATGTATCTCCAGACCTCCATCTTAATCATTGATGCTGTCTCAGGACATTCTGTGCCTTACACACATTTCATCTGTGCCCATCAACAGTTGCTACCTACTGTATTCCACTCCTTCATATCTAAGTTTTCTTGAACCGGTTACTGTATCTATGTTTAATCTTCTATCAACACATTGCTTACAGGGTGATAAGAATAGTGTTTCAAACATCAGTGAATGGCTTCTTTGTCAAATTCCATCCCTTTAGATTTTTCTGGACCCAGGTTTTCTTGTTGTTTTAAAATATTTTCATTAGAGTAGTTATAATTCTCTATTTCTTTTTTCTTTTTTGTTTTTTAAGGTATGACTAAACCAGCGTAAATGAGAAAAAGTCAATTTAGCTCAAGGTTGCAGATGTTTTAGTCCATGGTTACTTAGCTCTGTTGTTTCTAAATTTATGGTAAGGCAGAGCATTATGGCAATGAATATAGCCAAAGAAACTGCTCCTCTCATAGTAGCCAGAAGGTACAAAGAGAAAGGAGACAGAGGAAGGAACCAGGGACAAAACATGTCCTTCAAGGAAATATCCCCAGTGACTTACATTCTTGCTCCAACTATGCCTGACCTTCATAGTTAGTTCTCTGTTGCCTCTCAATATCCCATTAAGACTGGTCCCATAATGCGTTAATCCATTCATGAATTTAAATCCATTTTGATTCAATCAATAACATCCCAAAGGCACTCACTGACTCTGATTGTGTGTACCGAAGAACAAGCCTTCAGTACTAGAGCCTTGGGGGCAACAATTAAGATCCAAACCAACCATTACCTGAAATTGCTACACATATTATTTACTTAATTGTTTTCATACACCAACATCCATACACACCAGATAAAGGAAACTATGCAAAGCTAGTGATTTTGTTTATCATTTTTGTCTTCATAATCATTTGCAGGCCCATAAAATGTTGTAAGTAAATATTTTATGAATAATATATGAGAATATAAATATGACAAGATATTCATTACCAGGCATCAGACTTAGATGTTTGCATACATGTCTACATTCATTGACTTACTTGACATATGACTCTTTCAGCTTATATCCTGTAATGATATATTATTCAAATTCTTCCTAAACAGAATATTTTTATTACTTGGAGGGAGCCAAAGATGCTCTCCTTTGTGGTTTCAGCACAGATTCTGGGTAAGTAATATTTGTTTGGCTTTCAGTTTAAATGTTGCAAAATTATGTTGCTGATGAACACTTTTAAATCTGAATTATAGTTTTCATAAATTTCATGGCATCAATTTTGCTCATTTTATCTAACAATGAACATGTTTAAAATATTTATGGTTTATCCATGAGCTGGAAAACAAGACTGACCATGAGGTAAACTTGAATTAAAATAACATAGCAGTCATAGAATCTTGAGATATACAAGAATTTCTTCCTAAAGGCCTATTAAATGTTGGTTGGCTAGGTTAAGACTTTTCTCTTTGAGTAGAAGAATAACAACTTCCAACTCAAAGTACTCCATTGCCTAATTCAGTATGACTCATGGGTAACCAAGTATACTGCTCTGACCAATCTACTCAAGACCCTGTGGAATAGGGTAAAGATATTTTGAGAGCTTTCTATTTATGCAAACACCATTTTGATTTCTCCATACACCACCCTCAGTTTGCAAGGAAGCTTTGTACCTATTCTGCCTCCCATCAAGGAATCTCTTCATGAGCCTCTGAAAACTCTGCCAACCTCAGAATCAAAAGTGCTGCTTCTCCCCCAAAACTGTTATAAAACACCATGTTCATCTAAGGAGGCTAAAAACCGATCTTCCAGTTTTAGGAAGTAAAAAGGTTTAAAGCCACAGATCTTTGTGAGCATTCACAAATGTATCATGACTGTTCTTGGGTTTAATTCACTCTGAGAATAATTTTCAGAGAAGCCACTTTACCAGAAGCTTTCATAGCAAACTTTATTGATTTGAGTTGATGAATAAGTTGCTTATGAAATCTACCATTTATTAAATGGTTTTATGAGCAGGGAGTGAGTTATTCATGTTATTTAAATTCAAAGTTGGATCTTTAAGTTTTTGAGGTAAGGCATTTTGCTATTTCAACTGGAGGAAAGTATACCTATGAGAACTTAAGTAATTTGGCAAAATGGTCAACTAGTCAATAGCAGAATGGGATGTAATGGCCATTTTGATCCCAGATTATGTGCTCTTAGTTGTTCTGCAACACTGAGCCTCTAAAATATACCTTGAGTTTAATACTTCTATAGTGCTCCTTAGCTGCATGCTGAACTTATTCTGACCTATAATTTCCTTTGTCATCTGTAGTCAGTGTCCAGAAGGGTACGAGTGTGTGAAGGCTGGCAGAAACCCCGATTATGGCTACACAAGCTTTGACACTTTCAGCTGGGCCTTCTTGGCCTTGTTTCGGCTAATGACTCAAGACTACTGGGAGAACCTTTACCAACAGGTGGGTGCCAACAGAAACACCCATCTCTGAAGACCATCAATGCCTAATGTACATTGTCTTCCACCTTCTGAGCTATTGCAGTTGTTGTTGTTTTCTCTTTTTATTTCTGTGGACATTATGGGAATCTCTTATGTGCATTTCTAAAGTTAGAGATAATTTATCCTACTAGTAGTAGAACAGATAGTTCTTAGAACATAAATAATTTTCTTCTCTGTTCTAAGCAATGTTAATTTTTTGGTCTTTCTTAGTATATTACCCCACAGGTTCCCACATATAGGGCAGAGAACATCAAAGTGTTTTTGTTTTTTGGTTTTTGGTTTTTTTGTTTGTTTGTTTGTTTGAGGTGCCTTTTTACACTCACCACATCCTTCATATGACTGCACTGTCTGAGCCCAAGAAACTCTCCTGTACTGTTTCCATCAGACTATAGTGTTGAATCCTTATTTACTATTAAATACTCAGGTCTTCTCCAAACTTTTCTCTCCATTGTCAACTACTTCCTCCTCTTGACTTCATGACCCTTTAAATGTTACTCAACTTACAGCATCAATCTGCTATACTATTCCCTCACATGACCATTTACCCCTCACATGGATGTGAGGTGCTTGCCATATGGGCTCTATGTAGTTACTATGTACTCTCAGCACCCAATTCCAAAAGGAAAGTGGTTGAAATGATACTTCTATTATTCCATGTAACCATTAATTTCTTTTCTCAGAATTTCTACAGGTACCTCTTTGGCTTCCTTTACATTTACTTCTGTGAATGATTATACAAGTTATAAGAACTATATAAAATACCCTTTGTAGAAAATTAAAAGTAATAGAAATAATTTGGGGGTAGAAACAGAGTCTTCGAATGCTGAACTCACATGGTCATCTTTTTTCATCTTCCAGAGTATCCAGGGCCACAGTTGTGGACCACCATAGCAGTCCCCAGCTTTATAAATGTAGAAAAGGAGTATATCTTAGCTCAAAATTAAAGTCATATAAAACAAGTACTGATATATAATTTTTCTAAGGGAAGTCAAAAGATGGCCATATTTAAGTTAAGCTATGGAAGGAAGCTAGACTTTCTTACACACTAGTAGTGACCTTGGTAGAAAGTTAATGAAAACCAGAACAAATGTTTCCATTGACCTAATAATTCCACTTCTAGGAATTTATTCAAGAGAGAAAAAATAAAATTAACAGAGTGTTAGAACAGAGAACTGAGTAAATATTAAAGATTTCAGAGGTAGATAAGTTTCAATAACATCTCTGTGCGATTTTGAATTAATCTAAAAATGAAGTACATAGCAGAAGATAAATTGTGTTTAAAATTATTAGTGGTGATACTAGATAAAAATAAATATCCAGGAGGCCAATAGATAAATTCAATCAATAGGAAAATTTAATCAACGTTTAAAATGACAACCTAAGCTTTTAAAATAAAAGAATAGGATTTTAACAATGAAAGGTCCTGTTTCAAAAAATTAAAAGATATCCCTGGAGCTGAAGTTACAAATAATATCAAAAATGTGAAAAATAAGGGATTGGTATATTATTATATTTAATACTAATGAAGAATCAAATCTTATTGCCAGGCTATTACTTTGCTATATATTTTATAATATTAAAAAACTTCGTTTAATACAGATTTTCTTCAAATGTATTATTTTCATTTATATTTCCATAATATGAAATTATATAAAATATCTTTTTTGCATATTGTTCATGTACCAGCCACAATGAAAAAGCTTAGTAAAAATTTGCATTATTAAAATAACAATTTTTCCCCACCACCAGACGCTGCGTGCTGCTGGCAAAACCTACATGATTTTCTTTGTTGTGGTGATTTTCCTGGGCTCCTTTTACCTGATAAACTTGATCCTGGCTGTGGTAGCCATGGCATATGAGGAACAGAACCAGGCCAACATTGAAGAAGCTAAACAGAAAGAATTAGAATTTCAGCAGATGTTAGACAGACTCAAAAAAGAGCAGGAAGAAGCTGAGGTAAGTGTTTATCATTATAAATCTAAAGATAAGGGGACACAAAAGTCCTTTCCATTTAGACTCCCCTGATTTCTGTAGATGACATCTGATGTGGGCTGAAAGGCCAAGAAACAAGTCCTGTTTTCTATATAAATCACATCCCTTTGTTTTTAATGTGTTTGAGGGAATGAGCTCTAAACAGATCTAGAACTGACACCTGTCAAAATCATCTCCAGATTCATAACAGATGTTTTGAGATGTTCATAATTCTACCCCCCCACACAATGAGTCATCATGGCAGTTTATAAAATACAAGAACTGTGTGCATTTTTAGTGATAATAGCTTTCTTTTGAAATTTCATACACAGATAGTACATTCTGATTGTTGCTCCCATAACCCTCTCTTAATTCAGTCCCACCTGAATACCCTTTAGTACCCCCTTACAAGTCTCTTTGCCACAGCCACGTCTTTTTCTTTTTCTAACCCACTGAGTTTAACCAGAGTTGCCAGGGTCCATGGTTTGCTATTATTCTCTTGAGCCACTTAAGCTAATCAGCAACTTAAGACAATGGCTGCCTCTTCTCTGGAATCCATCAGTAGCTTATAATTCAGCAGGAAAGGTAGGGCCACATGGACCCTTCTTATATATAATTGAATGATGATAGGTCCAGGCTTGTGCAAGCCCATTGGTGACATTCATTGTGTCATTCATATATCACAAAATTACCCCCATCTTCTATGCTCTTACATTCTTCCTTTCCCCACTTCAACATTGTTCCCAGAGTCTTCTGGTGAAAATAACATAAATGTCCTCTTGGAGGCTGAGCACTCAGCTCTCACTTATTCTTGGTGTTATAAGGAGAGATGCAGTTCTTCACTCACCACCTTTCACTGCCAAGAGAAGTTTCTCTGGATAAGACTGAGAATGACATTTGTTGGTAGCAAAAGACATACTTTTTTAGAAGCCAGTTTGTGACCAGTTCAACTTAGCTAATTAGCATTAATAAGTTCCCACATAGGACTGAAGATCTCCTCAGTCATGGGTTTTTAACTTAGTAGATAGTACCAGGCATGGATCCCATCTTGTGAAATAAACCTTAGAAATGTAACTATAACATTAAGGTTAACCAACAATGAGGAGATGAAAAATGTTAATTAACTTTTGTTAATGTAATAAACTTTCAGATTAAAACAGACACACTAGTGATTGTGACCTCTTCCAAGTAAGACACAGGTGTCTAATAACCCTCTCTGTGAAATCAGACTTCAGTAGAAAAGGCTAAAAGGACCTGTTCAAAGACTAATAATCCCAAATGTTTAGAAAAAGCTTTAAAAACTGTCAGGTGATTGGGCGTAATTAACCTATTGAATGACTGTAGCATTAGCCCAGGCCAATAATCTGTGATGAGGAGAAACATTGTTGCACAAATACTTGTAGTGCAGTATTTTAATAATGTTAAAATTCAGAAATATAACACATTTTCAAAACATCCAAATATATATAATAGTATTATATCTTTGTGTCTTGACATTGTACTCATCCATAAAATTATGCATTTTTGAGAAAATTCTCTAATGAGGAAAATGTTGCTAAAATAATAGTGGGTGGAATGATAGATGAGACACAATCACAATTTAAATGTTACACAGCTACACAAATGACCTGGAGAAGTATTACCACAATTCCTTTCTGAGAGTAAGATTGCAGGTACTTTTCTACTTTCCCTTTACATCTTATTTGTCCATCTTTTCTCTAGTTTCCTTAAGTAATTTTCCTTCAGTCTTCAGAATTTTATACATTATACAATGAAATATTCATATCCACTCATACGCACTCACCTCACTCTTCCCTCCTCTAACTCTCCTAGCGCACCCCTTTCAATTTCATGGTTTTTTGTTCTTTATAACCCACTATGTCTGATTAATGGCACCCATAGGTACATGATTATGGGGCCATACCTTCGACCACAGGAAAATACCAATAGCCATACACACCAAGAAAAAATGATTCTCCCTGTCCCAGATACTATCTGGGCACTGAGTTTCTTATTGTCAGTATTTAGACCAATCGTGCATTTCTGTATCAATTGTTTCCCACTGAAAAATAAGCCCCTATGACCAAGGCTGAGGACAGCCCAGGTATATGGATATAAACATAAATATTTAGAAGACAACTCAGCAATATATCATCTAGTAAAATAACTTGGGGGAAGTCATAACTCGAGGGTAGAACCTAGTACTGTTATTCTATTTTTAAAACACATTTTCCCCAGTGAGATGATATAGGTACTTTTACCCTGGTACAACTCAGTTTTGAGATCTCACCAAACTCTTATGATAAGAATCATTGATGTTACACTTTATCTTGACACACTATTTCCTTAATAACTTATTTTCATTTTCTGATGTGCCGCTCTCAATAAGCTATAGGGTGCCTGATTCCATTCGTGACACTGAGTTGCTTGCCTGATCTGCAAACTCATTATCTTAGCACACAATTTATGTGAGTTTTATATTGAGAAGGTACCTGTAAAACTTCAACACAGAATATTACAATTTGCTTAATTATGAGGAAGTTCACAACAAGTAAGAGTTGAATTTCAAAGATATGAACTGTTATAATGTGTGGGAGTAAGAGAATATGCTTCATATGCTGGCTGGTCATAATGCAACAAAACATAGGTCACTTCAAGGACAAGAGTTGTAACTGTATGCACAGGCTGGGTAACCTTTGGCTTATTTTTGCAAGATTTGGAAATTACTTAAATGCTGTGGTTATCTTGGTCTAACAGGCCATCGCTGCAGCTGCTGCTGAGTACACTAGTATTGGACGGAGCAGGATGATGGGTCTCTCGGAGAGTTCTTCAGAAACCTCCAGGCTAAGCTCAAAGAGTGCCAAGGAGAGAAGAAACAGAAGGAAGAAAAAGAACCAGAAGAAAATCTCCAGTGGCGAGGAAAAGGGAGATGATGAGAAAATGTCTAAGTCAGAGTCAGAGGAAAGCATCCGAAAGAAAAGTTTCCATCTCGGTGTGGAAGGACATCATCGCACCCGGGAGAAGAGGCTGTCCACACCTAACCAGGTACTGCTGGCGCTACCTGGTGAGGCTTCCTAGCCAAAAGGCAGCACAGGGTTTAACTCAGGAGGCAGGGCCCAGGAGAAAAAGGGGGCTTCACCACCATGTTTTACCTAAAACACTACCTTTGGATGGGCATTTACAGAAAGAAGGGAGATGTGTATTTTTTTTTCTAGTTTGTTGCCATTTTTATAAACTGCTATTGTTTCAGAATTGCCATACCTTTCATAGTTGTATTTAGTCAATGTTTTTGTACCTCATTGTGATAAAAGCAAGGGGAGTTGAGGAGGGAAGGAAGGAAGGAGAGAAGGAAGGAGGAAAGGAAAGAAGGAAGGGAGAGAGAAGGAAGGAAGGAAGGAAGGAAAGAAGGGAGGGAGAGAAGGAGGGAGGGAAGGAAGGAAGGAAAGAAGGAAGGAAGGAAAGAAGGCCATCTTATTCTAGTGCCTCTACCTTCTTCAGCTCTGTAGACCAGCATGAACCAAAGCAACAGGCAACTAGTTTAGAATTTTGCCAATACCTATGGCATCCTCCACTTCAAGCACAGACACTTTTGGTAGGCTAATAAATGAATTCCTCACCTGTGGATTTTCCCTCTCATTGTCTTGTGTTTTACCCTGAAACCTCCACACCCAGGTTCCCCTGCCAACCCTTAGATGAGCCATGGCTCCAGAGCTACTTAACATTTATACATTACTCAGCCCCACAGGGTTGGGTCACTCTATTAAATAAACACTGAAGATCAGGAGTCGCATCTTAGGCAGATTGACATTGCCTTTGGCTTCACCTCAGCTTCCTCCACGTTCTTGGACTCCTTGTTTCCCTAACTGGGATGTCCACTATTACCTGAGGACTCTCACTCCTCCCCTGCCTCTATTATGTAGTACACATTTTTAAAATTTAATTGTATTTCATTTCTTTTTCCAAGACTGGCCTCAAGCTCTCTATTTAGTACAGGGATTATAGTTATTGGTCACCATGCCCAGTGCAATGCTGGGATTTGAACCAAAGACCTTATGCATACTAGGCAAGCATACTACCAACTTAGCTGTGTCCCCAACACAGTCTGCTTCTTACTGATAATTTTCATCATTAATTTTGCCTGTCAAGCAGCACCTCCTCTTCCCCTATTTTGCCCAAGCACGCCACCCTCATAATCCTACACACCTTCCTCTGTCCTATGCATCCCCCTATCTGATATTCCATGCAAGGCCCAGGACTGCTGCCATTGGCATCTTTGCCACAGATTGAAGTTTACAGCTTCTGAGCTTCTGTTACTTAGGTGTGAGGCACAGAAATAAAAGAAAGTCAATCCTTGTCTGCCAACACCGAACAATCTAGGAGAGATAGCTAAAGTCATCCTGATACTAATACAAGGAAAGACAAGAGGGAGACCAGGCTTGTTCTAAGGCAAAGACCTTGTCATACTCATTTTCCATTGTTCCCATTCCCTGCCACTTGTCTTTAATATAGTAAGCACTAATGTTTATTGAATTCAGGACTTGTAAATTACCTGCCCTCGATTTTCATTTATGGAAACAGTTTACCCTGGATAGATGTAACCTGTATGGTTTTTCCGCCTGCCGCCGCTGGTCTTGTCCCGCCGCCACGCCACCAGCCCCAAATACTACACAGAGACTCTGTATTTGATATTATCCTGTTGGCCAGTTACTAGTTTCTTATCGGCTAGCTCTATCTTAATTATTAACCCATTTCTGCTTTCTTTATACTCTCCATCTTGGCTCCTCCTTACTACTTTCTATTTCCTCCTTGTCTTCTAGTCCCTCCTATCTTCCTTTCCTATTGGCCAACAGTGTTTTATTATTAACCAGTATGAGAAACATATACAGAATGACATCTCCCATCAGATTGGAGTCATAT